ATATTAGGACGGAAGTTGGAACAAAGTCAATGTAACTTGAGGTATTTGTCTGAATATGACAGTAACCAGCAATATTTAAAAATTAAATGTATTAAAATTATAATTATAATAACAGTAGCAACCATCAATATGTTGGTATGAAAAATTTTCTGAATAATGTAGGTGAACGGAAGTTTGGTAAAATTTTGTGGGTACTGGTAGGCAACCAAATATACAAATGTCTGAGCTCAGTGACAGAGAACTAAAGATTTTTATAAAAGGTCCTTTATGTTTTTTCAACATTTGGTACCTGGAATATGGAAAGCAGATATGTGTAGGAATTTGGGTTCTGTAAATTTTATTATTGCAGAGTGGAATGGTAATTGATGTATTTGAGAGAGCTATTGATATGGAGTGTGAATATAATAAATGTTGTAATGTACTATTCATATAATACTTTACTTAAGTAGAAAAGATCCTTTATGTAATAAAGTAACATTTGGTACCTGAAAAATGTAAGAAGTATAAATATAAGTAGCTGGCTCCATACGATGTATCACAAAATTTTTTTATTTAAAATCCTTTATAAAAAGTATGTAATAAAATACCCAAATGGGCTATATTACAATTATAGAACGTTTTCGGAATATAGATTGCATCATCAGTGTAACCTGAAAGTATATAACCACTTTAATTACAAAAAACGTAAAATTTGAAATGTTGACTAAGGTTAATAAAAAATGTGGTTAATACTTACTAAGTATACATGCTTTGAGCCACTAAAATATATGGGCGCAAACCCGTTAAATGTTGTTAATTTAAATTTCATTATGTTCTTAAAAGTTAAAATATTTATGATATCAACTAATTAAAATGACAATAATGACATGTTAGGACGGATGTCTCAACAAAGCAGTCAGTGCAACTCACGGTAGTTATCTAAATATAACAGAAGCCAGCAATATTTAAAATTGAATAAGTTAAAATTATAATATTATAACAGCAGCAACATGTTGTAGTTTGTAATATAAATTTGTTCTACATTTATGTTGAGAACATTGAAAAAATTGTTTTAAAAATTAATGTAGGTAGAATGAAGTAAGGTGAAATTTTGTGGGTATTGATAGGCAACTGTCAATATTAACTAAAGATTTTACAAAAGGCCCTTTATGTTATGCAACCTTTGCTACCTAGAAAATAGACATATGTAGGAAGATGGGTTCTACAAACTTTATTGTTAAGGAGTGATATAGTAAATGATATGTTTGAAAGTGCTGTTGAGATGAAATTTAAATATGATAAAATGTTTCTGTAATGTAATATTCATGTAGTACTTAACTTACAACTTAAGCATGGAAGGCCCTCTATGTCAAAAACAACATGTGGTAATTGGTAAATATAAAAGATTTTTTACGTTATGGTTCATCCACATAAATTACTGGTTCGCTATGAAGAATAAATATGGTAAGTTGTTTTTGTATGTTGACAAGTATGCAAGACAAACAGAAAATTAATGGCTGAAAGGTGGTTTTGTATTGTATTGTTTATACATTGTTTAAGTTATAACCTAAGAAAAAGACCCTATATGTTAAAAGAAACATATGGTACCTGAGAAATATAAAAAGGTAAGTTTTGTGCTTAAGGTAGGTTGATGAAGTTAATAGGCTTTTTGGTGTGTATTGAAAAGATATTTAAAAACTGCAAGAGTAGTTGGGTGCTCTGTTAAATTTAACTAAATATATGTGATGTTTTACCTATAACCCAACTACTGTCGCAGTTTTTACATAACTTTTTAATACACACCAAAAAGCCTATTAACTTCGTTTACCTACCTTAAGCTCAAAACTTACCCTTTTTATATTTCCCAGATACCAAATGTTCCTTTTAACGAACAGAGCCTTTCTACTTATACAACTTACCATCTTTATTCTTCATACCGAATCAGTAATTTATGTTTATGAACTTATAAGTTGAAAACTCTTTTATATTTACTAAGTGCCAAATGTTGTTTTTTTCAAGAGCAAATTACCCACCCAGACGAACTCTATTATCGGTTCCAGTGGGAAATAGGAGTAGAGGCAGACCACGACTGAGATGGAGGGACGGTGTGGACGAGGACGCAAGGAAAATCGGCGCGGCAAATTGGCAACGGTTGGCGATGAACAGAAACGACTGGTGAAATAGACTGGGGAAGGTCAAGGCTCAACTAGAGCTGTAGCACCACTGATGATGATGATGAAATGTTGTTTTTTGACATAGAGGGCCTTCCATGCTTAAGTTGTAAGTTAAGTAATACATGAACATTACATTACAAAAACCTTTTATCATATTTAAATTTCATCTTAACAGCACTTTCAAACATATCAATTACAATATCACTCCATAACAATAAAGTTTATAGAACCCATCTTCCTACATATGTCTGTTTTTCCATTTTCTAGGTACCAAATGTTGCATAAAATAAAGGGTCTTTTGTTAAAATCTTTTGTTAAGAGCCAATAAATTCAGACTTATATATAGTTGGTTGCCTATCAATACAAACAAAATTTCACCGTACTTCAGTCTACCTACATTAATTTAATAATACATTTTTTTCAATGTTCTTAACACAAATATAGGACAAATTCACATTACAAACTACAATATTGATGGTTGCTACTGTTATATTATTATAATTTTTACTTTTTCAATTTTAAATATTGCTGGCTTCTGCCATATTTAGATAACTACCGTAAGTTTCACTGACTGCTTGGTTCCGACATCCGTCCTAACATGTTAATATTGTCATGTTAATTAGTTGCTATTAACAGGTCCTCGTAGACACTTTGTCTTAGGACCAAGTAACCTTATATAGAGTCATACGTCGCCATGTTACCAAGTTTACTGGTAACTTAAACATCTTAGCTTTTAAGAACACATAATGTAACAAAAATTTAAATTAACAACATATAACGGGTTTTTACCCATATATTTTAGTGGCTCAAATAATAAAGGAAAATAATTAAAATGGGACAAAGATAATTTTAAACTGGCCGAAAGACCACAAACCACCAGGTGAGAACGTTTAAGAGACATACGGAATACAGAGATGATACCTATAATTATGACGACCAAGATAACAGATCGCGCAATAGAAAAGGCTGATGAAAATATCAAAACAAGACACACAGAAATAAAAAAAAAACGTTACAGGAGAACAAGTGTAAAGCCCATCACAATTGGATCCTGAGATATCAAAACCATGCCAGCAATATGTAAGATACAAGAAATAGCCATAGAAATAAAAAATATATAAGCTAGAAATTTTAGCATTGTAAGAACTACGGTTGGAAAATCAAGGACAAATCGAGAGAAAAAATTTTTTACTCGCCACAATAATAATGTGAGTTGTGGATTATTGCGGTCCTGTGCACCTGATGAACTTGTTTTGATATCTCAACTTATCAACGCTTCTAAAAATGATAAGTGTTTTTTGATTTTCGATGAACTTGATTCTCACACTGATTTTAATCAATAAAAACTACATAACTAAATACTTAATGTGTTTTACTTTTTTAAAATCAATAGTTTACGAACTCGTATTATGTACATCTATTCACCTTGCTATCTCGATGCGAATTCTCATAATAAATTGTTTTGCTCTGATGTTGAATCGACAGACTATAGATTCTTTGTAGACTATTTTCATCTTGGACTAAAAATGTCGCATCTACTAAATAACAGAGTATTAGATCATTTTGACTTTAGTATTTCCCATTGTGTTGAATTGGGGTCATTATTATCTTTCTCTGTTGACACTTCTGATGAGTTTATCAATGACTTAATTAAAGAGCACAGAGCTTAAAATGTCCCTCTGTCGTATCACGTTCTAGTATTGGTAGATATTTTAATAGTTTTTATAATATTTTATCCTAGGTATGACAGGACTTACAAAATGTTACAAAAAAGTCAATTCGAAGAAAGTTACAACAACAAAAAAAACATATTTTTATTAAGAAAATTTTCTTTTTTGGGAAATAATCGAATATATCCAAAGCGAGACAACAATTTCGCAAATGGAAAAGTAGCATATAACGAATCTTACTATTATCATGTATCAATAAAAAATAACTCAGTTTACTTAATAAACAGTTTTTCTTTTTTTTTTTAACATTAAATGCGTTGTTAATACCTATTATTTGCTGCAAAACCTTAAGTTTTAAAATTTTGCAATCAATTCTGTAACAATTGATCATTGGAATTTGAATTTTTATCATACTTTTTACGGTAGATTAAGAGTTAAACCTTTTGAGTATAAATAATTGTTTAACTATTCGTTAGTTACATCGTCGATAAAAATTATATATATATATATATATATATATATATATATATATATATATATATATATAATAATGTAAGACATCTAAATGTAGAATGTATAAAAAATAAATATACGAGATTACTTAATTACTGGTAATTACAACAAAATGCATTTTATTTACAGCCCTGTCTGAAATAAACATATAAAATACAAACATATATAGCATTTTTCACATAAAAATGCTTGCACGTCACAATTTATATAAGTGACGTCACTTATATTTAAAATTTCCAGAACTTCAACCTTAGAGTTTAAATTTTAATAACACAGCTAATAGTACGAAACCCATACGGAACTGCTCGATCTTTCATAGGCGTCAACATGGTGTAATAATCATGTAATAATCAGAAAAATATAATCATCATTATATTTGAAATTTTAGAATTATGTTGATTAAATAACCAAAAACATTTGTTATTATTAATAATCTTAATTTTATGAACTAACTCTTCAAGTCTAATATTCCAGAACATATTAATTTTAATTAAATAGATTAGACAATTGTACGCAACTGATACGGGAATACTTCAGCTTTTATTGACAGTTCAGCGTGTGGCAAAGGTGTATAAAGTGTTGCCGCTTTTTTAGAGTAAAAATTTTGTTTATGTTTTGATTTCTTACACAATTTCATTTAAATACGATTTATATATATATATATATATATATATATATATATATATATTAATAAATCGTATTTATAAATACATATTAAATTTAGATTAATAGCTTTAAAAACTATAACTATAACTAATAGTGTGTAGAAAGCCGATAAGCTTTCATATAAGATTATTTTGAACAAGAAAAGTTTAAAATTTAGAATATATAATTTTGTAATAAAATGTTTTCTTTTGTATTTTAGTGTGTTGCAGTAGTCTTAAAACTAAGTGAAAGTACATAAAACTAAGCGAAAGTACTTGGGCTTGATTTATTTAACTTGTGCTCGATAATAGCCTTATTTTCAAAGTTCATTTATTCGAGCATTCAACCTCATTTCATTCATTCATTAATTAAAATATTTGACAAACAGTTGACATTTTAAAAATTCCTTACTTACTAACTATTTTGAAGTTTTAGCAATTCTGTGGGGTTCTGACGTCGTAAATCTTGAATGACGTGCAAGCACTTTTATATGAAAAATGCTATAATATTTTCCTCTATTCCTCTATACCAAGTAATCGTTTCTTCTCTTTTAAAGTTAAAAAAATCATTACGAAATTTCTTTTTTGTCTTTATTTTCCGACAGCGTACGTTTCCAAGAAGAATCGACTATTATGAAACACACAGTGTTTAGTACTCCTAATCCAAATAGCATAGCAAGTTTGTAATAAAGGCCTAACAGCTCAGCTGTGACAAAATTAATTACCAATCCAACTGCTAAAAGGAATTGAAAAATGGCAAAGGCTGAGGGAGCTTCTTTAGAATAAACTGTACCAATTAAACTAAATATAACGTTTATGTATATACAATCTCCAAGACCTAAAAGAAACGAACAAAACATTGCAAGCACTGTACTACTTTGAATAATAGCAGATTCATCAGTATCACCAAAAGGAGAATTATCGGGTAGATTAATAAAAATTAATATAAAACTTAAGCTGTGCACGAAACATGCTACTCCTATTAAAACACTTCGACCCAAATCAGAGACTTTTTTACCAAAAATACTTATCACACTTCCTCCAAATACTTCCCCAATTCCTACAAATATACCGGACATGCCGACTAGCTGCTTACGATTATGTATTTCTTTTGTAAAACCAATGGAGGAAGAGTAAATTCCACTGAAAAATCCCAACTCTAGCCCCGCATATACAAAAGTAAAACTTAGCAATAACATATTTTTTGTACAAAATAATTTAACTGATTTTATAAAAGTTTCCAATGCTCCAACTGCGTTAACTTCATTGCTTTTTTCTTCCTTTTTATGTTTAGGAAGAAAAACAAATAAGATCATTGCAACTGTACATACTCCTGCTAATGTAGTTAAAACCAGCGTTCGCGTTGCTTTGTGTATGTCTTCTCTTCCACTAAATCCAACTAAAACAATTATGTTTCCAATAATCATATTGCAACTTGCTATTATTGTAAATATTCCAGTATTTCTGCTAATGGTTGTCTCCGTGGAATTAAGCGCCAAGTAGTTACCTTCCGCTACCCATAATAAGGCCAAACCCAATCCTGAAAAACCACATGCAGTATACAAAATCCAAACTTTTTCTAGCATGAATTGTAATATAAATAAAATACATAAAAGTGCACCCAAAACCATAGCTACTTTGGATCCGAAAGCGTTGATGACTGATGGAACTATCCAGTTAAATACCGCAGAGAATCCGCCGTTTATAGCTTGACTGTAATATCCATTTTCTTCAAAAGATGGATCGTCTTTCTTTATACTATCAATAATCGTTTTTTGAATACTTAGCATTGTTTGTGTACCAGTAAGCAGTAAAAGAAATCCCACACTCAACAACATTACATTTCTTAAACTTGGATCCATGTTTTACACTTTAAACAATATTAGCCAGCACAAGCAAGATATTAATCACGATTGAAAATTTTATTAAAACTAATCAAATTTTAAATTATCTTTGCACTTATTGTTTGAGTTCTACAAAATTTTAAAAATTTATAGTACGAGCAAAATTTTAAATAATATGGTAACCTCGATAAAACTGGACTAGATTTAAATTGTTTTTATTACTACGGTTTATGTGTTTAGCTATTTGTTCTGCAGTGAAATTTATCTTTATCGTTGCTGTCCTGTTCGGTGACCCAAAAAAAATTTCTAAGAAAAATTTATTTCTTATTTTGCAAATTTTTTATGCAACGTGACGTTTTGGTGTATCATGACTTTATTGCCTAATATAAGGTTTTTAAATGACATACGAGATAAAAAGAACAATTTCCTGTTTTTTTTTGTTGATAAAAATTTAATTGTTACCTATAGTACGTTCGAGTCAATATGACCCACGTATATAAACCGTTAAAAATTACCTGTATACGTATGTTTAGTTGGCAGTATTTTATATATTTTGTAATTATAACAATAAAACACTGAAAACTTTGTCTTCAAACTTCCACAAAATTGATTTTAACCTCTTATCACTACAGCTCTTTCGGCTTATTGCGTTTCTCAAGTGATCTCTTTCTGGCCTGCGTTTACACTTTATAGTCTCTAATGAAATAGGTTGACGAGGGAAGAACTGTTTGTCTCAACTATTTGTCACAATAGAAATAGAACAAAATCAATCCATAAACTTTTTAGATTTAAAAATTATCAGACTTAAAAACAAACATGACTTCTCCATATTTCATAAACCTACCGATACTGACACGTCTATACACAATTCATCATCCCATCCAACACAACATAAACTGGCAGCCTATCATAGTGTGTACATAGATTAACAGAAATTCCGATGTCAAAATACAACTTTGAGAAAGAATTAAATATCATCAAGCAAATAGCAGTAAACAACGGATACAACGAACAAACAATTAATAAAATGTTAAATCAAAAACTATACAAGAAAGCCCTGAAATTAGTATTTCCACTATCAGAGAAAAAAACCAGTAACTTCTGCTCGATTACATATACAGGCAAAATATCAACAAAAATAGCCAAACACATAAAAAAGAAATGAATAACACCAGCTTTCCGAACAAATAACAACCTAGGCAAATATATCAAAAACAACAAGAGTCAAAATAAAAAACACTTGTGATGTGTACAAACTTAAATGTGGCGACTGCCCAAAAACGCACATCGGTCACACTGGTAGAAACTTTAATAAACGAATAGCAGAACATAAAAGGGCTTTCAATAATAGGAAAACAGATTCTACATACGTACTTCACCTTCTAGATCACAATCATTCTTTTAATAACGAATTTAAAATTCTACACATTCAAAAAAAGGCCTTAAGCTATCCTTGTTAGAATCTATGAAAATCAACAAATTAAAAAACACAGATATAATTCTAAATGACCAACTAGAGACAAACAGTTCTCCCCTCCTCAACCTATTTCATTAGAGACTATAAACTTTGAAAACAAAGTTTATTTATGTTTATAAGTGTTTTATTGTTACATAAAATGAATTTCCATCAAGTTACGATCGAATCCATCAAGTATTTTGTAACTGTTTGACAGTCGGGTACGTCTATAAATAGAAACAAGTTTCTGCAAGCTAGAACTTGAAAAAAAGGGGGAAGTGTAGCTGGACGATGTCATTTAGAAGAGCATGTCACGTAAAAAGAAGTGGGGGTAACAGACAAGTTGTAGGCTGGTAGGACACTGATATGCCAAGCGCATTCATTTACATTTCAAATTTTAGTCGATTTCAATGTTGATAATGTCGCATCGACGAACACTAACCGAACATGAGCTTCGCGAGCTCCCGAACGTGCGAGTGATGAGTACATATTAGAAACAGCAAATAAAACAAGTAGTTAGAGCGAGGAAGAAAGTAGTTTCATTTTACGTACAAAATCCTGTAGAACCTTCTGTAACAGTTCCTTCAAAAGACGGTAATATCCTGTGGTCTCTCGATCCTCCTTATCAACGCGGTCGTTTTTCCACAGTTAATGTTATAAATAATCCTCCAGGAGTTACAAGGTACGCATGTGCATGAATATAAAAAATTCATTTAACGCACTATTGTCTGACATAGTTGCAAACCAAATTATAAATACGACCAACATGGAAGGACAGCGTATTTTTGGAACCAACTGGAAAGACTTGGATAAAATTGGTTTTCTACATACATTGGTCTTTTATTGTTAGCTGAAGTTAGATGGAGTTTTTAAGTCCCAGGGCAACTCAACTAAAAGTTTGTGTAATGAAGAAACGGGTCGTAGTGTATTTCAAGCAACAATGTCCCTGAAAATTTTACAAAAATTGTATCCGTTTTACAATCCGTATTTACAAAAAATGTTACCTTTGCGAGTGACCCAAAAGTGGGTTCATCTCGACCTTTCGCTACAATTGTATGTAGCTTCTTCAGGAGAACAAAGAAAAAGAAATCAAAAGACAGAAAGATGGGTAGTTAGCAACGGTAACTCACATACTCAACGCAACCAGAGGCGAATACTAACTACCAAGATGGGCATTTGGTCACAGTAACTCAACTACTTAACGCAGCCAGAGGTGAAAACCAAATGCCAGGACAGGGATTCACGTCCAACAGCTCAGAACACTAACGCGTCGAGAGGCGGGGAGTGAATCCAACGATTACTCCTCTACCGCTCTATTTATAGTCGCGGTGACCTGTCGTGTCGGGACGTATCGGCACACTCCGTGGCGAGAGCGTCAAGAAGCGCGCGCTGGCCAATCATGTGGCTGCATCGTGGTAGCGGGACCGGACGGCGGCTCTAGACTGAGATTCCAGATGGGAGACAAGTAGTATCCTTCCTTTCGATTGATATTATGTGGATTTTTTCGAATCTCTAGAGATTCGCGGATTTTCCTGGAATAAAAGAAGGGGCTCTTAGAAATAATATGGATTTTTTCGAACAATATGGATATTGTTCCATATTCCTGGATGCGTTAAGTAGTTAAGTTACTGTGACCAAATGCCCATCTTGGTAGTTAGTATTCGCCTCTGGTTGCGTTGAGTAACTGAGTTAGCGGGTCACTCACAAATGACACGGTCTAAACCCGGAAGACGAATAAACTATAATTCTATAATTTTTTGTTAATAAATTTTTGTTTGGCACAATTATCTTATTTTATTTCGATTAGGGACCCTATACCATAGTTGGGTCATATTGACTCAAACAGTACATTTGCATAGTTGACTATAACGGTACAGAAGGCAGAGTTAAAACAAAAAACTGTTTTTACGGTTCTCGCTGTTAATGGTCCACTGTACGATAATTACGCTGAAAAGACCAATTTACTCTTTTATTTGGTACTATATTGGGTACTATTATTGGTAATAACAAAAAGTGAAAATAAAAGCAAAACAATTTAAAAAAGATAAAAAATTGTAAGTAAGGATGATGTTAACGATAAACGACAGGAGTTTTTAATACCGAAATTTAATACGAGTATATCTCTTATACAAAACTGATCGTGTTTAACCAATTAAAATCGAGCAGGCTGGCAACATAATTATAATTTTTAAACTATACATAGTACATACAGTATAAATTTAAATGAACACCCCATTTCCTATTTTTCTAAACCGTAAACGTCAAATTAGAGAACCCTACTAGTTAAGTTTAGTACATGAAACTTCCACGACCTCAGCGTTCTCACAACTAATCTCTCGGTCAGTTTCTTTGTTTATAAACGCTGTTTATGGAGTCACTTTAAGCAATTAGTTTTTTTTTGTAATGCTACATAAAAAATAAAGCAGTATTCGATATGGAAAAGTTCTTAAATACATTAAGGTATGTAAACAAGCTTTTTCTAGTATTGGCATAATACTTTAAAATAATTTGGTAGAGAACAAGATTGCTGGAAGAAATGAACTTTGAGAAAACATTTTAACGAAATTGAGAAAGTCAAACTGCGAAAGTGATCGTAAAGTTAATGGAGTTATATATGTTATCCATTTCTTCCAGATTATCACACTGTATGTATGTATGAAGACCTTACTGTAAAAACTATCCATAAAACTTTTTTAGAAACTGATCAAATCAACGCTTCATACAAAGCTTTGTTGCCTACATTTAAACCGTTCAATATGCATTTTGAATACCTTTACTGAATGCAATTCACTTCTTCAAATAATTATCGCTGTTAAAAAAGAGAAAAGAAAAAAACCAGTATGAGGTAAAAAAAAGCCCTTCATCTGAAAAAGTCTTAAGCTTTTAAAATAGAAAAACAGTTGTGTTAAAAGCCCAAAAATGTGTATTAAACTGCTTTTTTTTATTTTAAGCAAAACATTCCCCTTCTTTATATATTGACTAGTTTTATGTATTATTCTCAGCAGTGATGGTACGTCGTGTTTAGGGTATACAATGTAAAAACCGGAGAAGTTACAATCTACAAATACTTAAAAAATAAAGGACATAAAGCTCCTAATAAAGTGGTATACTTCATATGCTGCTGAATTATATTAACCACAATATTTGACATTCATAATTAACGGAGGAAGTGGTTTTATTTAGCGATGGTTGTCAGGGACAAAACAAACACAAAATGGTATATTTTTAATTTTGTTCGGTACATATTCATAAACTTTTTAAAAGGATGATATATTTTTTTCTCGTGAGTGACCATAGCTAAAAGTTCATTTGAAAATGATTGATGGCACAATTTTTATAGCAAAGGTCTAAATACAGGGTTGGTCAATGCAGAGAAAATGTAATACGTAATTGAAACCTCCTTAACTGAATTTTCACTCGACTTTAATATGACCACCCCGACAAACCTTAAATACAATGAATCATAAAATGAAAATGAGCAAACCCGGATTGATTAAACAATAACAGAAAGTCTTACTGATGGAGAACATAAAATTACTTTAATATAAAAAAAAACAAAATTTCAATATTACCTACTCACATTAATTTTTATATACTAACTATTAGTTTAC